CCTCTTGCCATATTAAAACTTACTTTTAAATCATCAAATATCCTTCATTGATACTTGGACATGGATGAGTGTAAGTCAATAGGTTACCTCTCTCTTAAGAAGTGAAAGTGTTAGTTGCTCAGTTGTATCTGACTCTTTGTGACCCCATGGCCTGTAGCCTGCCAGGCTCCTCTGTCCATGGAATTTTCCAGGCAAGAATACTGGAATGGGTTGCCATTTCCTTCTCCAGGGGGTCTTCCTGACCCGGGGATCAAACATGGGTCTTCTGCATTGCAGGCAGATTCCTTACCATCTGAGCCACCAGGGAAGGCCTCATAAGTGTTTAAGTTCAGTATGTCTCTCCATGTAAAATGAAAAGTTTTAATTTCTAGTGAAGGAGGTTTTTTTTCCATTGGCAAGATATTTGGGGTGGCAGAGTCCCCTTTCCAAGGTCCCTGAAAACTCATACCACGGAGTGACTGAAGAAGTCTTAGTTATGATGAAGTAAGAGTTAAATTAGACCAAGCCTCAATGACAGCAGGTATAATCTGTAAGGAAGAGGTAGGCAGGCACCTAAAAGAAAATAAATTCAGAGCTAAACATGATTTATTTTTGATGCCCTCCCTCCCACCTTTTAAAGGTCAATCTCCCTGACTTGAATCCTAGTGTCCTATGGGCTCTCCTTGGGTTAATCACTGTTATTCTGATAGCCCAATCTGGAGAGTCATCTGTATGCAATGTTTATTCTTCAGGCCTTCCCTCATCTTTCTTTTTGTTTCTTTATAAAAATTTACTCATCCTAAATCCCATTCTATCCATATGCCTTCCACTGCTGTATCATGTGAAAATTTGATCATCATTGTCAGGAAGATTCTGGGACTTAAGATGGAGAAAGTATCTTCAATGAAACAGTGAAACCCGTGCTGGGACTCTCAGCTTCTGGAAAAGGAGGAAGCTATTTGGTGATTAGGCCTGTAAAATTTGGAAGTTGTAAATAATCCTCAAGTGAGTCTGCATGTATTTTCAGTACTTTCTCGTGGTATAGTTAGGCATTACGGGGGAGACAGACAACTACCTGGGCTCCAGGAGTTTGCAGTTAAGCGAGGTGGAATGAGGAGAGAACCTTGGATGCCAAACGCTTGCATGCATCACTTTAAGTCATTTTATTTGATCGGGATTATCACATGATTTTAAGGAACCAAGACTCAGAAAAGTAAACTGTTTTCCCCAGGTTCTATATAAATACTGAGTGGTGGAGTCAGGATTTAAATTCAGGTCTGACCGGGTTCTGATGCTTCTGTTATTTTCAGCATTCCATCTTGTTATGGAAACAGAATCCAAGAGGGAGAGGTGAGAAGGAGAGCAGTAGAAGGCGGGGTGGGGCCTGCGGTGGGAGTTCAGAGGAAGAGCCCACTGCCCTGGACCAGCAAGAGAACACTTTCTAGAACTAAGTGACACTCAGACAGAGTCGGAAGCCACGAAGGACAACTTATTTGATAGAAGCCGGAAGAAGGGCGGTCTTTCCAGGTTTGCTGTTGTTCAGTCACTAAGCCATGCCCGACTCTTTGCGACCCCATGGACTGCAGCACGCCAGGCTCCCCTGTCCTTCATCGTTCCCCAGAGTTTGCTCAAACGCATGTCCATTGAGTCGACGATGCCATCCAACCTATCCAGGTAGGCTGGCCAAGAAAGGAAAGGCTTGCGAGTGGAAATAAAAGTGTGCTGAAGGACAAAATCCTGGAGGTCTGATTAAGGGAGCGAAAATGATTCCTGTGGTCTGCCTGCTCTTTCACTGCATCTTAATTCGGTTGAGGGTGGAGGAATCATCGCTAGAGACGCTTTCCCTCTAAGGGGCAGGCGTTCAGGAAGCTTAGCCTTCCACGCAGTCTTACCTGGAGCCACTGCCTCTGAGAAGGCCGCTCAGGATCCCCAGGAAAGGGCCTTTCTCAAGAGTCCCTGGTGATGCAAGAGGGGAGCGTCCGGGGAGCCAGGCCGAGGGAGCCAGGTACTTCTTCCTTCCTTTTCTAGAATCCAGGCCAGTTTCAATTTACATAACACAGCTTAATCCACAGAAACAGGAGCTGGAGGCAAGTTCTTTCCCTTTTTCTTTTTTTCTCTTGACACAGAAACCTTTATTTTCTCCCCACACCACAAACCGGTGCTGTTAAATAATATTGGATAATTGCACCTGTCGTCCTCCCCATATTGTGCTGGAGAAAAATAATTGCTGGTTTTCTGCTTTGCAGTTTAGCTGTGACTCCGTCATTTGACTCGGAGCATGTCATTTTCTCCCGTTTTAGACTGTGTACAGTCAAACTGTGTGAAAGGACTCTCAGATAGCGGCCCTGCGTGTGTGAGTGGGCGCGGGCCTCATTCAGCAATGATTTCTAATTTATACAGCATTGAAAATCCACTGCTATAAATAAACAGTTCTGGCTGGCTTTGCTGCCTACTCAAATGCTCTTATTAAAAAAAAAAAAAAAAAGAGCCATCAGCTACATGAGAATGGAAAATAAAGTCTGGATATGGATTCAGGTTTCTGACACCTGTGCCCTTGGGGTGGGGGCACCCAGACTTGGGATGGGCTCAGTGCTCAGCCAGGCAGCCTTCTGGGAGACTGGCCTCCTCACTCTTTCCTCAACCTCCCTTCCCCCACACCCCACACTCTCCACATGCCGGCCCCACGTGTTTGGGGATTACAGTATATGAAACTGACTTCCTGTAATGACAAGTATTGCAAGCAAGTAGGTGCAGAGGAGCCGAAAATAGCTTGAGAAACGAATGACCCATTCGCAGGGAGGATGGGGCTAATGTGTTGTTTAGGCAAACAAGGTAAGTCTTCTCCCCAGACTCAGAATTGGTGTCACACATGAGATAGCAACTCCAGAATGTAAGCACAGGTACGGACCAGTCCATGAGCCTGAGCCAACTCTGGGAGGTGGTGAAGGACAGGGAAGCCCCGTGTGCTGCAGTCCACGGTCGCCAACAGTCGGACACTACCGAACGACTGAACACCAAGATAAAATGAGGTCTTGGAGGTGAGAGTGGCTCTGAATTGATGACACTGTACAAATATTATTGCCAGTTTTCTCATCGTTATCATTTCGTTTGTATTGTTCTCTAACCACTAAGGGTCTAACACAGCTTTATGTAGGCGGCTGATACTATCTCCCTTTTAATGAACATTTAATCAGTGTTCATGACGGGTGTTCTGAAGCTTCTCCTTTCTTAAGCTTAAGCAGCACCAAGGAAGTACTGTGTGACTACGTCTGTGCTCAGTGGGGAATGCTTGAGGTATTTCTAGGGCTGGAATAGCTACTGCACGGTGGCCAGTCATGCAGCTAGCAGAGTTTAATTTGGTCCTGGGGACAGTGAAGTCACAAATAGAAATCTGCAGGCTCATCCCAGCCAGGAGCTCACTATGGCTCTGAGAAATACGCAGCCCGAGTCATTCGGGGGGTGTGGAAAATTTGGGTGATCTCCTGTGGGCTTCACCTTTGGAGAATTTCCACGATGACAGCTGCGTCTGGGCTCCCGCTGAGCCCAGGTGTGTGCGCAGTCACGCAGCTGGTGTGGGAAAAGAGATGGTGTTCCCAGCTTCAGAGCCAAAGACTCTCGTGTTTGTGTACCCGAAGGGGGGTGGAGATCCGGTGGGTCTCTCGGTGCCTCTCCTGGTCCTCCCCTGGACTCCCTGCCCTATCGGAACATTCTGCTCTCTTCCCCAAGTCTATCAGACCACCCTCGGTGTTCATTTTAACCGTTATTTCTCCTGTATCATGTTAGATTGGAAAACCCAAGTACAATTCACCCAACCCACATGGGTCTGATGGCATTACTGATGGACTCAAAAATGTTTACCTGCCACTAATCATGTGTGTTCTTTATAAAAATGTGTCTGAAAATAAAGACCCAGAAAAATTCTCTAGGAAAATTAAAGCAGGTTTATGAACATTTTCGTTAATCAGCTGACGATCAGCTTTTTAAAACCATAACCTAACTCTGCCACGAGATGAGTCCGATGGCATTCCTGACTCAGTGGACATGGGTCTGAGCAAACTCCTGGAGATGGTGAAGGACCGGGAGGCCTGACGTGCTGCAGTCCGTGGGGTCACAAAGAGTTGGACACGACTAAGAGACTGAGCAACAGTAACAGCTCGGCAAAGTGCTTCGTGCGGAAGCAGTCTCAGCAGTCCTCACAGTCACGGCACTTCCCATCCAGATTATTTCCCAAGTAAAATGTACATTTATTTGATGAATCATTCAGTATTCCCATGTAAGAGATTCTAACTACGTCCCTGTGTTCCGTGTTTACTTGCCCCAAATGCTTGCTCACAAAGGGACAGATTTCCCAATATTTTTATAACTTATTTTCTCATTGCCCCAGTTAATTTTTCTAGCAGCAGCCATCTTCCTACATTTCCATTTATGGGGGGGGGGGGGAAAGATGAGAAATCCATGAAAATAACTAGCTTATGACAGTGCTTCTTTTGAGGATAATTGGGATTATTCAGAAATGGGCCAGAACTGGGAGTTGGCAGGTAGGTCTGGGAGATAAAAGTTGTTGCCTTGGTTCTGACACTAAAGCTTTGGCCGCATGAGGTTAACCTCCCATCCAGGTCCTCAGGATCCTTCTCTGTGAAGAGTGTGGATGACCCTAAGTTCCTTTCTCCTTAAACATTCTCTGACACTGCATTTCTCTAAACATTCTCTGACACCGCATTTACATGAGTTTCTTTGGCCTTTGGCAAGACGTTGACCACAGACCATCCTCTCCAGAGGTCAGACAGAGGTAACAAATTCTGAGAGAGCAGGAATTGTTTTGGGGGTAAACATTCCAAAAAGCCTAAAGCTCTCAAATTAATCCCCTACCTTCATTACCCTCTGTTAAAATTTATATATCATTCCCTATCCTTTCTACTTTCCTACGTTGCTCTACCACCTCCCCCTACCAGGAAAAAAAAAAAAAGATGGGAAAAAATTCTCATGTTTTCTTCCTTCTTAGTTCTTGGAAAACTGTCTGATCACTTCCTCTTCTTCCTCGGTTGCACTGTGTCACCTGCGCAAACGAGAACAGAAAGGGATCTTAGCCTTCAGGGCTTCCCTAATGGGTATTCTCCTGTGGGTAGACATCCGCCCTGACCTGGGACAGTGCAGAGTTGAGGAAACTTTTCCACAGGCGAGATGATGTACCTGCGGAGCTCTGAAACCCACCAGCACTGCTGCAAGGACAGGAGGGGACATTCTGTTGTCCTGCTTGGGACTTGGCTCACAGCTGGCCAGCTGACCAAAGGGGCAGTTTGCCTCCTGTGGCTCTGAACATTTCCTGTGAACCACTGACGGTGGTGGCTTTTGGCATGTGTTTGTAGGCTGTACACAGCCCATCAACAAATTTTGAGACTTTGCAGATGAAGATGAAGAGACCACATCAATCAAATGAGAAAGGAAATAGTAGCGTGGCTATTCACCTAACCAGGGGCCATTCTGTGACCTTTCACCAAATCCATTTATTGGCATGGGTAGAAAAGTACTGGCATGTTGATTAGTGTTTAGTAAGCTTATTAGAGGGGTTTATTATACTGAAACTGTAGCATTAGATTTCTAGAATGACTTCCATTTAGCCAATTGGTACCTCCATCTTTAATGATCACAAATCTTTGCATAAACTTTGAAACTTCAGAAACTTCATTAACTCATTGTCCTTCCCGTCTGTTGCCAAATGCAGTCTTTTTTCAGCTCAGCCTCTTCTCAGACCTTCTAGAGCCCTGTTACTCCTGGCTCGTATTACCACAACAGTCTCAGCTTGCAATTCCAGGCTTTATTCTTCAAACTCTGCCCCCTCCATCAGTTAAATCCTTAACAGTCAACTTTAAATAGCTTATCATTGCATTTTGCGGGAACTCCCCTTCTCAGAGGCTTTAGACTGATGACATGAGATCCTCCTGTAGCCCCCTCATCACACTGATTTTCTAGGGTGGCTAGCTCCTGCTCACCCAGCCCCCACAGCCACCTTTGAATTCATGTCTCTCAGCATTTTTAAGCACAGTCTCCTTTCTTCAATTTCTCGTCAATCCATACTACATCCAATAACTTAAGTGAAGCCTTGCTGATTTATCTAGCTTTACATGTTTCCTGTTCTTTTCATTGATGCTTCCACTTGTTTTACATTTTTGATGTGAATTCTCTTTTCCCCAGTTAGGTCTTCTCTACATTAGGTCTGTAGACATAAGCACAATATCTTCTCTTCTCTGAAGTATACACTTAGGGCCTTTAATGAATCTGTTTTCAGGTAAACAACACGTTATTTCTCTTGTGTTCAAGAGCTTGCTCATCGTAAACTTCTCAAAGTTGTTCCTTCCAGGGTCTCTCTGAGGCAATCTAAAACTGTTTATCCATGCTGTTACTAACCCTCAGCACTTCAAGTCTAACTGTAATCAAAAGCTCACTGCTTCAACCCCAGGTGCCAAGGATTGGAGGTTCCTTCTCGAGTCAAGAGATAACAACAGAACACGACGGCTTGGAGAGAAACATTGGGACCAGGAGTGGGGGTGGTGGTGGGAAGTTCCTCAGTGGAAGGAAGGCAGATGGCTCCTTCCACTGGGTCAGAGTCTCCATGTCCAACACCACGGAGCTCTGAGGGGACTCACACCCTGTGAATATCACAGCCATCATATTTTTCTGTTGGGTTCCAGAAGGTAAGGATGGGTTCTTAGTCCCGAATTCTCATGGGGCTCAGCAGTCTCTAGATTTCTTTGAGTCTTCAGAATTTATCTCTGACCATGTTTTCACAATGCATAGCTGGTTTTTGTATATACATTGTAGGTTTTTAACTTGTGGTTACTGTGGAGTTCATACATGTTGATCTATAACTATATCCATTTATTTTAAACTGGTAGTCATTTAAGTTCAAACACATTCCAAAGTTCAACTCAGTTCAGTTGCTCAGTCATGTCCGACTCTTTGCGACCCCGTGGACTGCAGCACGCCAGGCTTCCCTGCCCATCAGCAACTCCCGGAGCTTACTCAAACTCATGTCCAGCGAGTCGGTGATGCCATCCAACCATCTCATCCTCTGGCATCCCCTTCTCCTCCTACCTTCGACCTTTCCTAGCATCAGAGTTTTTTCTAATGTGTCAGTTATTCACATCCGGTGGCCAAAGTATTGGAACTTCAGCTTCAGCATCAGTCTTTTTCCAACGAATATTCACATTCTAAAGGGTCTCCATTTTTTGCCCCCATCTCAATGTTTTGTGTTTTTGATGTCACATTTTATATTTTCTTGTCTGTCCCTTCCCTGTTTATTGTAGTTACAGTTTATTTTACATTTTTATCTTTTAAGCTTCATGCTATCTTATGTCAGTGGTTGATCCACAGCCTTTACTATATATTTGCCTGTGCTAGTAGGATTTTCCCCTTCCTGTAATTCTATCTTTTGCTATAGCCTCTTCTTTTTTATTTAAAGACCACCCTTTAACAGTTCTTGTAAGATCAATTTCTCTCTCTCTCTATGCACTCTGTCGTGTCCGACTCTGTGACCCCATGGACTGTAGCCTGCCAGGCTCCTCTGTCCACGGGATTTTCCAGGCAAGAACACGAGTGGGTTGCCATTTCCTCCTCCAGGGGATTTTCCCTGCCAAAGGATCAAAACCACGTCTCCGGCGTCTCAAATGTTGGCAGGTGGATTCTTTACCACTGAGCCACCTGAGAAGACTAGTTTAGCACTGTGATGAGCTCTTGATTTTTTCTTGTCTGAGAAGCTCTTTACCTCTCCCCCTCAATTTTGAATGATAACCTTCCTGGGAGAAGTATCCTAGGCTGTAATTTTCTCCTTTAAGCACTTTACCTACATCATGCCACTCTCTTCTGAACTACAAACGGTCCGCTAAAAATCAGCTGATAGCCTTAGGCGGGTTCCCTTGTATGTGATGCACCATTTTTCTCTCGCTGCCTTTAGACTTCTCTTTTTGTCTTTAACCTTGTCTGCTTTAATCATGATATGTCTTGGTTTAAGTCCCTTTGAGTTCAACTTGTTTGGAATTCTCTGTGCTTCTGTACCTGGGCATCCGTTTCCTTCTTCAGGTTTGGGAAGTTTTCAACCATGATTTTATCAAATAGATTTTATACCTTTTTTTCTCTCTTCTTCTGGGAAACCCTATGACGCAAACGTTAGTATGATTGATAAAGTACCACAGGTCTCTTAGACTATTCTCATTTTTTTCTTTTTAAGTTTGTTTTCCTTTTTGATGTTCTGCTTGGGTGATTTCCCTCATTCTATCTTCCGGATTGCTTATGCATTGCTCTATGTAATCTCCTGTTCAAGCGCTCCAGTGTATTTTTCATTTCAGTCATTGCATTTTTCAACTCTGATTCTTTCCTGTATTTTCTAGTTCTTTGTTGAAATTCTTCTTGTGTCCATCCATTCTTTTCTCCAGTTTAGCATTCTTATGACTATTTCTTTGGATTCTTTGTCAGATAAATGATTTATCTGTTTCATTAGCACTTTTTGTTGTTTGTTGTTTCACTTGAAACCTGGTCCTCTTGTCTTCTCATTTTGTTTACCTTTCTTCGTCTGTGTGAAGTCAGGTGGAACATGCTCGTCTCTGTCTTGACGTCAAGCCCTGTGTTGGAGCATTCCCTTGTCGTCCGCGTGAGCCCATCAGCTCTGGTGGGAGAGCCCCGTTGGCTCTGGCGGAGAGCCGGCTTTGAAGTGAGCGTGTCTCCATCCAGGGTGTGTGGGTGGTCATGGCCTTGGTGGGCAGAAGGGCTGGGGTTGGAGGGGCGGGAGCCAGAAGCAGGTGCAAGCGGGGCTGCTTCTGTGCTCAGCGACTGTGACTGTTCTGCTGGAGGCGGGGCGGCTGGGGGCAAGGGGCTGGAGCAAGGACCCCAGAGGGCGCTGGCCTCTCTCGGGTGTGATGGCAGTCTCCATCTTGGTTTGGCACAAGGGCAGAGCCTAGGGCCTTGGGGCTGCATTTCGGTGCTGGCTTTACTTTCTCCCCTGTGTGTGCCCTCAGTTAGAGGCTGGTGCCACGCCACTGAGCTGACCACCGCCCCCCGTGCCCCCAGAGGGGACCTGTCCTGCTGCGATGGCACTCACCCTCCAGAGTGTGGGCAGGGGCTCATGAGCTGGTAGTGGTTGCCTCCACCCCGGTCGGAGCAGGGCCAGGGTCCAGGCTGGCTCCATGCCCTCGCGTGTGCATGCTCTCACTGGCAACAGTGGCCTCTGCCTTAGTGGAGACCAGTGCTGGCAGAGCAAGAGGCGCTGGAGCCGGAGCCTGGTGGGCCCAGGGGGCACCCTGAGGCGGTCCCCAGGCGTTTTGCAACCAGTCGCCTCTGTGCTGTTGGCAGTAAGCAGACCTGTTCGTGCGCTCCTAAAGAGTGGAGTCTCAGTCTCTTACAGCCCTCAGGAAACCCCACTGGTGTTCAAGTCAGCCAGGCGGGCTCATCTTCCCCATGTCAGACCCAAGGGCTGAGGTGCCTGACACATGGTTCAAAGTCCTCGTTCCCCAGGGAGGATCCCTTCGCCCGTGATATCTCCCCCTCCTCTGCGCCCCCAGCAGTGAGGGGCGGTCCTGAGCAGATTGCTTCCCTTCCCTCCCTCCTTGGCTCTGCGTGGATCTTTCTTTACAGCCTGGCTTGGAGAATAGCTGCTCTGCTGGTCCCAGGTTGATTGCCGTGAGAGTCGCTCTATATGTAGCTGTGGTTCCGATGTGAGGGAAGGGGAGCCCAGCGCACTCCTACCACCCCATTTTGATCTCCTCCCCTCCTGAATTATTTCAGGCCTCTCTTTATCCTCTGGTAGTACCAAGGAGTAGAGATATTTTAAGCCAAACATTTAATGTTCGTCTCATGCAAGATTCAAATGTTTTTTTTGCGGGCGTGGTAAAGGAAACCACTCCTTTAGTCAACATGACTATGGACACATACGTAATTGTATACCTTATTATTCATACAGTTGGAACACAGGATAAGTAAAATCATACTATTTCAAAAAATTGACACCTATGTATCCACAATCATAAAAGCTACTGACAGTCTTAGAGCTGAAAATCTGAAGAACAT